AAAATCCTCTCTAGTTCTGATTATCTTTTTCTCTCCAAAATTCCCAAATCTTCTCCAGAAATAATTCACCATGACTAATCCCCAAGATAATCCTGGAACTCCCCCACCAGTATCCCCTTCTAATACATCCTCATCTACACCCCCTAGTGAAACCCCAAAACCAAGGTTCCGCCGGCAGAAAATGTTAGCTAGAAAAACTGTAGCTTCTGGTTCTTTGAGAAAAGCTCTAAATGAGAAATTGAGGGCTAGCCAGAAGAAGGAAAGTTCTGCTAAACAATCTGACTCCAGCTCTGAGTCTGAAGCTTTTATCTCTGCCAGCAAAGGTGAAGAACATGGTTCCTCTGACACTGACAAGAATCACGAAACCCCTGGTGAGGTAAATACTTGTTTGGTATTTTCTGATATGGTTGAAAATGTAGATAATACGTTTGTTTTGGTTGGTTCTGTGAAAGATGTAAAGGGGCTGAGTCAAGTAGGAAGGAAAGTAAAAAGAAAGAAAAAGTTCGTGCTATCTGTGGAGGTGTGGAGGAGAGTGGCAACAAGTCAGGGGGAAGTGGTTCTGGGGAAGCTGCTGAAGGTCTAGTTCATCTGAGCAAGCAACAGGATGAACCAGGTTCATCTATTGAGGAAACCCTAGCTGACATTCTGAAAAAGGTTGGAGCCAGCTATGATCCAAAGAAGCGCAAAGCTTCCTCACAAAAAGCTCCAACTGCTTCCAAGCCAACAAAGAAAAGTAAAGTGTCATCTCCAAAGCCTACTTTCCCTTAAGTACTAAAGGGAAGAGCTACTAGAAGCAAGGTGAAGCAAAGTGAAGCAAAATTGCAGAAAGCTCTGGAAGAGAGCAGGAAGAAACAGAGGGAAAAAGGAAAGGCTAAGGTTGTGGAGAGTGTTGAGATTGCAGAAGAAGAAGAGGAGATTGACCTGGTCCATCAAGAAAGAGGAACAACTGAAGAAGTTCCTACTCCCAAACCAAAAAGATCCAAGACTTCTTCCAAGAAGTCTTCCTCTTCACCTGTATCTGCTGAACCCTCCTTAGCCAAAAGAACCAGATCTGCACTGAAAGGGAAACAGGTAAAAATTACTGAAGAAGAAGAAGAATGGAGTGGAGAAGAAGAAGAGGAGGAGTCTGAGAAAGAACAGGATAGGTTTGCCATCTTTGGCAGGAGAAAAATTTTGAAAGGCAGGTTGTTGAAAGACCTGGATGAGCCAGGAATGAGAAGATTGGTGGATACCCTAGCTGCACAAGGGTGGAAGGACATGGTCCTTGAAATGGATGGGAGGCTGGCTAGAAATGAGTTGATAGAGTTTATGGCCAATGCCACTGTGAAAAATGGAGTAGTCTCCAGCCTGGTGAAGGGTGTAAAAGTAGAGTTTGATGCAATCAAACTGGGTGAGATTCTGGACATACCAAGTGAAAGGTATGATGACTATACAAGGCAGAGGTGGCCATGACTGGAATCTCTCCCCACTGCTCTTCAAATTACTAGAAATTTCTGTGATGCTGCAAATGTTGAAGATGTACCTGAAGCCAGATTTGTTCAGAAGAGTGAGATGAGACCTGAGCACAAGGTCTTATTTGAATTTGTGAACAAGTGCTTGCTGCCCAGACAGGAGAGGAGGCATACTGCCAACTATATGGACCTAATTCTTATGGAGTGCCTTGAGAGTGGAAAGCAGATAAATTGGCCTGCTTTTATTGTCAAACTACTGGACAGGGTCATTAATGGATCCAAGGCACATGCAACTCCATATGGGTTCATACCCACAACTGTGCTGGACAGGCTAAGGGTGCCTTTGAAGAAATGGGAGATGGCATCAAGCAAGGAGCATTTTGGTGTTAGGACCTTATTGGCTTGTGACTATCCTGTCAATGCCACCCCAGTTGAACCTGGTTCATCTCTGAAGACACCAGTGAATAGCAAGGTTAGGGCTTTGGTTCAAGAGTGTGGAACTAAGGATGCTGAAATTGCTAGGCTTCAGGCTCGTGTTGCTGATTTGGAAGCTGAAAGAGATGGCATTCGAGCTGAGCTAGCAAAAGAAAAGGAGAAAAGTGAAGGAATGCTTAAGAATATGCTCAACCTTCTCCAAACCCAGCCCTCTAGTTCCTCCAAGCCTTAGGTCTTCCAGTTCTTGTTTTTGAACCTATCTAGAACCTCCAGTGACCTAGATTTGGGACTTTTTCTGTTTTTGTTGCTCATGTTTGGAAGTTTTTCTTTCTCTTTGTGGTCTGTTTGTGGAAACATATCCTAATCAATGACAATTTGCTTTTTCTCTTGTTCTATGAAGATTCTGATCTTAATAGTTAATTTTATTTGTTGGTTGTTGATTAATTGAACCATGTTTTCACTTGCAGTTGCCCCAGTGGCTATGAGTAATTATTAAAATCTGGGATTCACAATATTTGCAACTTTTTGATGATGCCAAAAGGGGGAAGAGATATTGTGCTTTACTTGTTATTCTGTATAATGTGATATTTATAACCTGATTAAACCTGGTCCTTGATGATAAGTTAAAATTTCTAAGTTAAAGTGTTGATGATTAAGCTGAGTTCCACAGGTTCTCTGATCAGTAAAAGCACAGAGTTTGTCATCATCAAAAAGGGAAAATTTGTTGGCCCAAGTTCAGGTGAAGTTTTGAAGAATGACAAATGAACTCAGTCATAGACCAGGTCCATCATGTGAGGCACAGTATTTATCAACCTATACGTGTGAGATGCACGTGAAGAAGATAAGTCTCAAGGATCAAGCAGCAATATCTTCTGAACTAATCGAAAAGGTTGCATATTGGATGAGGAGAGGAAGTCTCCTTATAGGAAGAGGACACAGTCCGGATAAAGGATAGGGTTGGAGTTTGTATTGTTCTAGGACTCAAATTCGACAAAGGATCAGCAATTGAGTCTCAATCAAACTCTGGTTATTAACTTATTAAATAACTGAGATTGTTCTCTTTTACTGGAATTGCACAAACGCAGAAGTGAAACTAAATTGAGAGCAAAAGAGCGAGGCAATTTTGTAAGCAATTTATGTGAGATTCAAGTGTGCATTCCTGAAGCTACTTGGACAAGATAGAAGAACCAATTCCATTGTGTTTATTCTTATTCTAGTTCAATTGTAGTAGGTGGCTTAAAGTTGTACCTTTCCAGCTTTTGTAGAAGCAATTGTAATAGGTACTTTGAGTATTCAAGTTATAGGCTAACTCGAAGGTGTCGCAACAGTTGAGGTTGTGTGCCTCACTGGGATTAGAGTTTAATCCTTAGGTTTACAAGAGTTTTGTAAATGTTGTTTTGGCTCAGTGATTTTAGTGGAAGTTTGGGAAAATCCTACTGAGTAGTAGGTCGTGGTTTTTTTACCTTTTGAGCCAGGTGTTTTCCACGTAAAAATCTCTGTGTTCTTTATTTTATGCACTCTTAATTCCGCAAACAGTAGTAGTAAGTACACCTAGAAGAAACAGGTTCTTCTAGAGCGAAAATAGGGTACCACACAAATCACCCCCCCCCCCCTTGTGTGGTATTGACGTTTAGAACATCACGTTTCCCAACCTTTTATAATAATGAATTACAAAGAAAATCTCGAGTTTGGCCACCCTTGGCAGTCACCAACTCACAAGATCGCCAATACTTGCACAATCTGCCTTTTAAAGGCCCCTGCCTAAGGCATTTTGTGACCACTGATTTTGGCAAGGCAATGTCACATAATTTGCCAAGCTCAAGCCTTGACATAGACAACCCTATGCCTACATCTTTCCCGTTTTCCCTCCCTAGGTACTTAGACGAAATTAGGGTGTTGCTAGCGCATATTTATAGTGCAGTCAACCCTATTACACTTGTTAGACCCTCATGAGTCAGTTTTCCTATTTCAGTTGACATCCCCCAACTGATAGGCCATGACTAAAACGTGCATACACTTAGCCTAATATATAGCCACGCCTGGATAAGGCAGTTGTAACCACTCATCTACATAGCCGTATGCCCAGCACACTTGGTAATCACTCCTTGTGCGCTGCATGTGCATGTTTTGGCCAGCTGCTGCACGCCCAAGGTTAGCATTGCGCCTAGCCTTACCCTTTTACATTGCTCCGCCCCGATGTCATTGCCACAGCTTGTCGTCCATGACTTAGCCGCTCACGCCCGCTACCACAACCGCTTGTTCATGTCAAGTCGCCCCAACTTGAGCAAGTCTGCCCTTGCCAATGCCATAGCTGATATTGGCATCAAGTCACCAAGCCATGATGTCATTTCCCTTGCTAAGTCGGTTGCTCACAAAATACTTAGGTGCCAAGTCGCTCACCTAAGCCAAGGCAACACCGTGTTGCCAATGCCACTGCCTTGGCACTAAGCCGCATTGCCTTAGCGCCTGGGTTTTTACCCACATTGCCTTGTCAAGCTTCCGTCCAGCCTGCCTTGCCCCCTCAAGACCTTGTCCTTTGCTTGCACACAACTGCACTCGTGCTTTAGTGTTGTCCGTCACACTTTAGCCTTGCAACAATTTGTTGTTGTTGACAGCGCCCCCATTGTCTTGCATGTTTATTGTCCCGCACATAGGTCAATGGCAAGGCCATCATGCCAAATCCATGCCACAGTCGCGCCATATGCCGATCAGCTTTGTTAAGGGTCAAACACCCCCTACCTCCAAATCCTGGGTCTTCTCTTGTCAATTGGACCCTCTAGAAATAGAACTTCACAAAATGTAATTTATGGTCTAACTAGGACATCCTCTTGCTTTGAGAATAAGAACTGCTAAGAGTAAAATTCAAGAAAAATAGCCAATTACATAGCACATCCTCCAAAAAGTTATATAATGATATCTGGTATTGCATATTAGAGCTCACTATGCATAAATTAGGCATACTTGCATTCCAACCCGTTTTAGTAAAGCAGGTATATTTGTTTACATTTCAAAATAGAGAAAAACTATACTTGTTCACCTTTGTTTGATATGTTCGTTCATTATTTATACAAACTAAAACTATCCAACATATAATTAGCCTGTATTAATATAAAGGGAACCTTTGACACAGGTAAAAGTAATCAGGAAGATATGTGCATAAATCATACTATGTATGACGGACATTTCCATGTTCTATATTCAAATTGCCTTCAATTACTACATGTCAAGAGTATATAGTCAAAATGTTGTTATGCATACAAAGCAATGCCAAGATTCATCAACTATGAACTAGTCAAGAAATGCTCCATCCAACTACTAAGCAAAAGGCAACTATATTGTTTCTTCTCCAAGTCCATTAGCAGCACTACCAAACCCCATCAAGAAGATGACTTTAATTCAAGAATCATTTTTATTTCCAATCAGGCACAAGCTGGCCTTAGTTCTGAAATTGCCCTGTTCAAGGACTTTCAAATGTTGAATTCTGGTTCCAAGCCTAATGCTTATTCTCTGGTTCAGTTGACCCGTGCATGTACCAATCTGGGTTGGTTTTCACCTGGTGAACAACTTCACTGTTGCATTCTAAAATCTGGGTATGACACCAATGTCTTTGTTACTACAGCTTTGGTCAATTTGTATGTCAAGTCTCAGCTTTTGAATAAGGCTCACCAGTTGTTTGAGGAAATGACTGAACCGAATGTGGTTTCTTGGAATACGTTGATTTCTGGGTATGTCCGTTCTGGGCAGTTTACTGCTGCTCTCAACTTGTTTATGCAGCTCGAAAGATCGGAACTTTGTCCTGATTCGTACTCTTTTACAGCTGCTTTATCAGCATGTGGACCACTTGGTTTACTACTAGTTGGAAGGTTAATACATGCTAAGATTGTGAAATTTGGCGTTGAGTGCAGTATAGTTGTCTCGAATTCTTTAATTGACATGTATGGAAAATGTAGCTCTACTGAAGAATCAACCAGGGTGTTCAATAGTATGATAGAGAAGGACACTATTTCGTGGAATGCAGTCATAGCAGCAAATGCAAGAAACAACAGGCTTGAGCAGGCATTTGATTTCTTGCATCAAATGCCTGAACCTGATACCGTTTCATACAATGAGGTAATTAGTGGCATGGCACAGTTTGGTAACATACAAGATGCTTTTGATATGTTATCAAGAATGCCAACCCCAAATTCATCTTCATGGAATTCGATAATCACAGGATATGTCAACCGAGGCAGAGCAAAGGAAGCTCTGCATTTTTTTCAAAACATGCATCTTAGTAATGTTCTTATGGATCAATTCACATTTTCAAGTATATTAAGTGGCACTGCCAACATAGCAGCTATAACATGGGGAAGGTTGATACATTGTTGCACAATTAAGTATGGCGAGAATGAGACTGTTGTTGTTGGAACTGCTCTCATTGACATGTATTCTAAATGTGGGCAAATGAAAGAAGCTGAAATTCTGTTTGAATCTCTCCCTGAGAAGAATCTGATAACGTGGAACACGATTATATCTGGACATGCTCATAATGGTGATTCAGATGAAGTGATCCGGCTATTTGAGCAGTTGAAGTTGGTGAAAGATTTACAACCAGATTGTATTACATTCGTGAATGTCTTGGCTGCATGTTGGCATAACAAAATGTCATTGCGGGCTGCAAATAAGTATTTTGAGTTGATGGTTAAGGAGTATGAGATATGTCCCATGCCGGAACACTGTTCTTCAATGATTAAGCTCATGGGACAAGAAGGGGATGTGAGTAAGGCCGAGAAAATGATTTATGAACTTGGATTTGAAAATTGTGGATTAGTTTGGAAGGCACTATTAGGTGCTTCTGTCACTTGTCGGGATATAAAAATAGCAGAAGTTGCAGCTGCGAAGGTGATAGAATTGGAAGGTGATAACGAGTTTGTCTATGTACTAATGTCTAATATGTATGCATTGCATAGGAAGTGGATCGATGTTGGTGGCACGAGGGAGCAGATGAAAGAGAGAAAAGTGAGAAAAGAAGCTGGTTGGAGTTGGATCGAAGTGGAAAACTCAACTATAAATTCATCCATGGTGTGATGAAAAGACGATGATAATGATGCCCCGTACTCCAAATGGGGATCATGGAACTATCGCTCGAAAAGTAAGTAAGCTGGTCCTTGTTTGGTCACCAATTGAAACACTTGATGACCTAACTACAAAGGCCAAAAAGAAAATGACCTACAACCTTACCTCAATGGACAATAGGATGTAGGTAGATTGTTTAAACAATGAAGATGAAAATGAAAATGTTGGACTGCTAAATTGAGGCCGGCTGTATGCCAACTTCATTGTCGCGTTTATAAATCAACACATACAACCGAAGCACTAACCTACTGAGGAGAAAAGAGTGAATATTCGCTCTGTCCATTATTGCTACTTGGTTATCAAGTGGAAGTTTTCGGAAACAGCCTCTCCCTCCGGTGTAGGGGTAAGGCTGCGTACATACTACTCTCCCCAGACCCCACTTGTGGGAGTACACTGGGTTGTTGTTGTTGTTGTTGGTTGACAAGCGGAAGTGCTACGACTATACTGGGAAATGTTAAGCTTATGTTGCCATGATTTGGTTTAGAAGATGAGATGCCTGATCTAATCATGCTTGAGGACAACGGAAAGTACTTTTTTATTATGTTGGGAAGGTATCTGTATAATGCAAATAGCCTCTTTTTCTAACTACTAGTATACGTACCCGCGCGATGCGCGGATCGATTAAAAGAAAAAAAGCAAACGCTGCAACTAATGCTGCAAGAATAGTACTTGTTTGCAAGAAATACTCTGCAAATTGTAAAAGCAAAAAACGTGGTTAAATGACAAATAATATAAGACTGCAATTTGCAATCCACTCTAGAACATAAGATTTACATCACCTTCATCTATCTGAAATACTAAAACATGAAGCAAATGAACTTCTTTAATGGAATTCAACANAGGATTCTAACGATTTGTTACTTCCCACATATTTCCTTTTTGAAATTGTTACAGCCTTGATTAATATTTTTCATAAACCGTATGTTTCCTTAAATTTTTTTAGCGAGATTTGAGTTTAAGAACACGGGAGAAATGGAAGTTGGCCGCCAGTTTGGAGAAGTATGTTTTGTGGGTTTCAATCTGCGTATGTTTCATGAGTTGTGCGTGGTGAGCGATTGTCCATTATCCTTAGGTTAGGTTTTGGAGAGAAAATTTAGGGAAAGTGGGTTTTAAATGTGATGTTTTAAATCAGTTTTCTTTTTAAAGTTAAAGAGTAAAATACGTAAAAATTTATGGTCTTCATGGTTCAAAAGTAGATGATCGATTTTTGAAGGAGCTTTTATTTCCAAATAATTTTGAATTAGTTAATTTGTTAAAATGTATGTTTTAAGATCATATAATCAATTAGAAATAAATAAATTTGAAAATTTTGAATTAAATAAAGCTCTTTAATAAAAAAAGTCCGGTCTTCATGGTTCAAAGTTAAAAGAGTATTTTTAAAATGTGCTATTTTTAATTTTTAATATTAAATAATAATCTAAATCAGATTTATTTTTAAAAGTTAAACATTAAAAAACGTATATCTAAAATCAGTTAATTTATTTATAATAAAGAAATACTTATTTTTAAAAAAGTAAAGAAATCTAAAATTTAAAAAACTGAACGTGGGAGTCCAAAAAACGTGGGACTGAAATAGGTACACAAACGTGGACTCTTGGGCACACAAACGTGGGACTTAAAACGTGGACTCAAATTTAAAAAAAAAAAAATTAAAACTTGTCCTTTAATTATGCCATGTATAATCAATTTTTTGGAAAAAAAAATTATTATTTTACCGTGAAAATACATAAAAAGGATAGAAAATCTACCATCAAAACGTGTCATGGTAGTTTAACAATGTAAGTGGTAACTGTCACCACTCACGTTTCTTATTACTACTAACAATGTAAGTGGTAACTGTCACGTTTCTAAATTGGCTAGTTATTTAATTTTTGTATTTTTTTTTCTTTTTAAAATTTTTTTGAATCTCCAAATTTATTGGAGTTATGTCCTAAAACATGACACGTGTCGATATGTCGTTTTGACACTTGGCACAATAATATGGCTTTGCTTCTCCTATTCTATATAGATAGATTATTGGGAGGAGTAAAGCTACAAACTAATTCTTTGATGTTTCCTCCTTTTGCCTCAACTTACTATTTTGGGGTATAATCACTTTTAGCCCGTGCCAGAAACTATTTACATTCTATAGCCGAAAGTGTATAAATTTGGTATAATTTTTATATATAACATACGAAATGTATATAAATGAATAAAAAATATACATTTTTTCGGATATTATTTTGAGAGTAGCTAGACAATGCCATTTTCCCTACTATCTTTAGCCTTCACTAAAATTTGAATTTTGATTTAGTATGATTTTCATCCCACTTTATTTATTGACCGCTCAACTACATTGTACGCATGCATGTTTGTTCTTTGCCGTTGACGCATTGATAATAAAAAAAACATATCGTGTTCTATTTGTTAAATAAAAAATTTCATTTGACCAAAAAAAACATATCACTTTTTACGGCCACAAATAAGTGGCAGAATGCCTTCGTTGTTCAACATCTACAACTCAACCTTTTTCCCTTCTCAGCATAACAAATAGGCCAAAAAATAAGAAATTATGGAAGTATAAAACTCCAACCTCTTCCATTCTCAGTGTAACAAATTGGCCCAAAAAAGAAAGAAGGAAATAAGGATTATTCCATAGTAATATTCCAAGTAATCAAAGGAATCGGAAATCAGAATTAACAGCAAAACCAGCTGAAAATTTAATACATTCAAATACTATTACCACTTGTGTAAAGTTTGAGTAGTCATTAAACATAAATGTCTTTCCTAGGACAAAATCTTGCCTTCCCATTCAAAGAGTTGACAACTTTCTTTGACAATCTGCTAACAACGTCACCTTGGTACCGAGAGACCTAGCTCTATTGCCACAAACAACAAAAGACTCGTATCAGGAGAAATATTAAGATGCAAAGTAGAAAAACAAAGATCAAAACTAGGTTAGCTTAGGTTCGTTAAATCAGTCAAATACATTTTACTGCAGATAAAGTTGCCAATAAAAGAAAAACTTAAACCTACCGCATTACATACAAGATAAATTGGCATTCAAGTAAAAAGAAAAGGGGAGGCTCAACTCTGATTTATCTTTCTCTACAATAAACAGATGATATGTCTGAAAATATGGTTAAAGCCAAGGCAAAAATCTTGTAGCTAATTCAAGCAGATACAACCTCCTCCTGAAGAGCAAAAAATTTCACGTTCCTTCAGTATCATCTGGGAAAACGAAAATTCTTGTTACCAAAATAGGCTTTGTCAAATAGGGGCATAATAGCTAAATATAAAAACAGTTGAAGTCAGAAAATTATTTTATGACACACAGACCCTTGCAGGGTCTTTTGTTCTTTTCTTTTCGACAGAAACCTAGAGGTGACAATCAAAGGACTGTCGCCTCTTAGCTGATACTTTGTCTTGAACAGTTTAAAAGGAAACAGCTACGCATTCTCACTTTCCTAAACCCACCAAGAAAGATCAAAGTTTCACTCACCAGATCAATGGATCAAGGGATTTCACATTATTTGCTAGGAGTATATGTTATAAACAGATATGTTATTTGAAAGTCAAAATGCATGGAAGTTGTTAAAAGATTAATAAGTAATACTTTTAAATCTGCTACTTGTAGTCTCCTAACAGGCTCCACCTATGTCTAACAATCATAGCAGGACTTCCAAAGATAAAACTGGACTGGTGACTGAAATCTTGGATTTCTTAAAGAACAATGAGACCATTCTCATAGACAAGACTGGTATAATTCTTGGGAGCATTTCTGGTGCTGTCATTGACTTAGAAGTGTGTATATAAGATGTGGACAGATATGGAATTGTTATGAACTGAAAGTACCTTCAAACCTTCTCAAACAAATCAAAAGGAAGTGCAAACCACAGAAAGAAAAATAGTGGATGACAGCATGAAAGAAAAACTACTCCTGAATCCCCAACAAACTGGGTCGGCTCTACGAATAAGATGATTTACTTCATTATGTATTGCTGAACCCATCATTCTATTACCCTAAGAATGGCCTAAAACAGCCCTAATTATGTTAAACAGTCTCGCCACAAGACTGAAACATCAGTCATACAGTATCTCCCTCGCTCTAATCCCCTACAGAGCCCCGGGAAGATGCTTGAAACATAGGAAAATCATTCGACTAATATATGAATTTAGGTATGATTATGAGCTTTCAGTTTGCAGTGTGAATCTTAAACTTTGGAATCACTTGAAAGTTGAAAGAGAGGAGCTCTCAAAAACATATTCTCAGAGCATTACCCATCAAATGAAAAGCATTACCCATCAAATGAACCTTTTCTAAATGGTAAGATGCAGAAACACAGTTTGTCAGATAATCCAAAGTGCTACGATTAGAATTAGGTAAAATGACATTATCAACGACAAGATAATAAAATGTTATTCATTCCGAAAGCGTTTAAATTTATGGTTTTACATTCATTAATTGCATGTGAAGGTTTCGAAAAGAAAAATGGCAGCCCTAAACACAATTCACTTCCATCCTACTCATTAATTGTTTTCTTAAGACTGCTGATAAAACTTGGTGCTAAGATAGGAACGCACTTAAGCAAAATAGAAAGGCCTGTGCTATCCCGGTATATTTCTTTCGTGCTTTTGGAAACTCATGTGCCTGCAGGAACCAAATATTCCAGTCAGATAGCTGATCAAAACCTTCCACCTCAAAATATATGCCCAGTTTGGTTACTAGGAAGGGTGTTTAAGAGATTCAAAAACTTCTTTTATACGGAGTTTCGGTAAATATATTAGCTAACATAAAGAAGAACAAGCATGAGAAGATTTATATTTGGTTCATTTTTAGGAGTGAAAAGTTTCAGCCTAGACCAACTTAGACTGCAATAGCTTGATAGGAGGAATAACCACGCCAACCCAGTAAACTGTAGAGCTTTAATGGTTCCTCAAGAGAAGCCCATATTAATCCCATTACATACCCTTTACAACCAGTCCACCACCACCACCCTCCCCAAACGAGGGAAAAAAACATGGGGAATTTAAGAAAAGACGGCAAAAAACAAATAAAAATGTAGAACTACAAACAATCGAAACAAACCCAGTTACTACTTGCATGAAGATTAATAGAGTTTCTGGAGTAAAGATATGAATATAGTAGGTGTTTAACGATAAATACAAACTATTAGCTATTTTGTTTCACCCAAAAAAAATCTTTCTTAGAGATATGTAGTAACATAATTTTCAATATTCAATAATGAAAAGGTATCCAATTTCCTGCACAATAATTTGTGATGTCATTATTTCTAGTTGCTAGTCTAAGTTATTCAACAAGGTAAAACCACAACTGCACAACCATACGTTCTGTTCATAAATGTATAGAGACAATAGGTTCACCATCTCACTTTTACTTTGTTGGTTTCCATTCATGTTAAGGAAATACTTCTTACAGAATTCTCTTTCTTTTTCTAGAGTACAAATGAAAAGGTAGAGCACTATTGGGGTGAATCCATTACTGTTGTTAGTCACTACTCACTATAAAAAAACCTGCAACACAAGTTATATGGTACTTCTGCTTCATCCTATGTAGAAGCCTAGAAGAAGCTAGTAAGGCAAGGATTATATGTGATATTACTCTGCAATTTCTTATCAATAGGAGACACTCTCCCATACAGTTTATTGAAAAAGGGAAACGGAGGAGGGAAGTCACTCCACGAGAGCTTTTCTGCCCCTCTCTCCGCATAAATATGTCCAGTTGTTAACACAAAATGAAAGAAACAGATGCACCATAACTAAGCTGGTGCAAGGTGTAGGTAGAGCTACTGCCGATAAAAAAAGATATAAGTAGAGCTACTGGTCAAAGAATGTAGGTAGAGCTAATTACCTAAATAACACTGGCACATTGAAATATGAGAAGTAGGAAAAGAGCACCAGAATAGGCAAAAATATTAAACAATTTCACAAAGATCATAAGATCACTCTACATGTTTCAGTAGACGGAAGATTAGACAGTCATCGAGCCAATTCAAGACTGTGCAACACTAACTCGAATTCTGATCGGTATACGTAATTGATGTCATATGGCTTTGCATATTCAAAGTAATAATCATATTGGTGTACCATTCTTCGGTAGCCTATAACCATGCAACTCTTTTCTACCATTTGGATATAGTATTCATAAGGAAAGTGGTTTTGATTGCTAGATGTTGTAGTAGTTGTTTTAGTCTTGACAAAAAAAGTTGTACATTAGTTGTTTTAGTAAATGTTAAATTGTACGAAATGTCTCAGATATTGAATTTCCATCTGTTATTAGCAGTTTTTAGTGATTTAAATATTTAAGGGGTCCCCCTTCTACCCGGAAAGAATTCCATTTTAAATTGCAAGATGTGGTAATTGATTTAGTGATTATTAATTCTAGAAATGACTCCCGTATTGAAATTCCCTTTGCTAGCATCAGTTATTAGTGATTTAACCATTTAAGAAGTTCCCCCTTCTTCCGGGAAAGAATTCAATTTAAATCTTCTATTATAACATCTACAAGATGAAACAGGTAGCAGAATAAAAGAAAAATGAAAAATTAACAAACATGTACCAACAAATAGTAAGAACAAGCACATACTTGTATTTATTTTATTTTGGGGGAGTAATAAATGGAACATGCTAGAGGTCTGGAGAGGTGCAGCAGAGAGTACCCTGTGAAAGAGCTCTGGAACTCCTCGATGTTGAGCTTAGGCATGACGTCATCCTCGCCGTAGCAACTGCGTTGTGTAGCGGCAACATTGACTGCAACCCTCCCAGTTCCGACGGAATTCTGCATAACCGATAATAATATAAATATAACAAACGAATTAACAAACAATATATGTTGAGGCAAACGAAAAATACCTTGAAAAAGAGAAACGACGGAGAGGCGACGATGTAGATCTGGTTGAGGCAGAGAAACTGGGAAACGACTGTGAAGAAGAAGCTGATTGAGAATTGGATTTAATGGCGGATCTGATAGAAGAAATTGAAGCTCTATTAATAATTCTGCTACACCTTGAAGCCATTGTAGAATGCAGAATTGTAGAAATTAGTAGAGCCAAGCAAAGAGAAGAGAGTTTTGGGTAAGATCCCGGAGACAAGGTTATTAGGGTTTTGGGTTTTAGCTCCAGTCAAACTAGTCGGATCGGACCCGCTGCCTGTCTGCGTTTTTGGTAGCCCAACTTATTCGGGTCAAAGGCACACATGCTTTTAGAAGTTACAAACTTCAGTCGAATGCTGTATTGTGGGCCGGGACCGCCCCGCGCCTGCGAGACCATGGGCCTAACGGTCCGGTTCAAATGGGTCGGTTCAACCGGGCCAAACGGGCCCAACTGTAATTTTTCAACAAAAAAAAAAATTTAAAAAGGCCAACGGTTAGAAATTTAAAAAGTAACCGTTTGGCATTTTTAAAAAATAGTCATTTGGCTCCCAAACTTTGTTTTAACCCCAAACTTTTTATAATTACACTTTTCCCTTTTCTCAACTATAAATACCCCCTCATTCTTTCATTTCTACTCACAAAATCATCAATCTCTCTCATTCTCTCTCTAATTTTCTTCTATAATTGCTTACTTTGTTATTGCAGTTTGTAAAAATTTGTGAAGTTGGTGAATTGAAGTGTTCAAGTCTTCAACGATATACAATTTTCAAGAAGTTGTTCGTCAATTCGGTAAACTCGTTCCAACTCTTAAGTTTTAATATTATAGTTTTGTTTGTTTTAGTTTGTATAATTATAATTAATATGGCGTTTTCTTTGAAAAAAATGTTTGGTGGTAAGGGAAAATCTAAAATTGGTGAATCTAGTCGCCAAGCTACTACCCCTCCCCCGGCTCCCCGACCTAGACATGTTACCCGTCCTCCTCCACCTATTATTCTTGATAGTGATAACCCTTGTTTTCAATTTAGCGATAGCGAATTTTGCCATGATGTTGCACCAGGTCAACAATTAAATGATAAATATATGAATGCTCTTTATCCTACTGAGGTTAACCCTAGTACCGGTTCAAATCTAGTTCAACCGGGAATTAACAATGTTACCGGTGGCATTTTATATTACGATCCAAATAAAGATCGTGAAGAATTAGCAAAAATGGTTACTGTTATGTGCTTACTCTATAGTTTTCCTTCTAACCCTCACTTTTTGCATTATATTAGAAAAGTTTTTGATCCTACTTATAAAGGATGGCCTCGCGCAACCGTAAAGAGCGATATTTATAAATATAAACATGAATATGAACAATATTTGCGGTATTTTTTTACTCATATAGATTGTCGCATTGCTATTACCACCGATATTGGTAGAAGTGGTAATGACTGGGATTATCTTACTGTAACCACTTATTGGATTGATGAAGAATGGAAAATGCAAAAACGCATTATTGCTTATAGAATAATTAATTCACGTCACACAGGTAAGTTTATTGCTAACACAGTTGCAGATATTTGTAGATATTTTTGCATTAGAGATAAAATAATGTCAATTTCTATGGATAATGCTTCTAGTAACACTAATGCTATAGGCTTGCTTACAACTACACTAAATCCTGCATTTAGTAATTGCTTTCATGTTAGATGTATTTGTCATATTTACCTTTAATCGTCGGCGAAGGTATGAAAATTTTAAATTTGGAAATTGAAAAGGTTAAAATGGCTCTTAATTGGCTTTTTTATTCAAACCGTAGAAGTAGACTTAGAGAATATTTTAAAAAATGTGATGAATTTGGCCTTAAAGAGAGAAAGGTTCCTAAAGCTTGTCCGACTAGATGGAATTATAAGTACGAAAGTTTAGTTGTTGCATATGAATATAGAAACCCAATAAATACAACGTTTAATGCTCGTGTTGGTGGTGAGGATGATGATGAAATCCTTACAAATCAAGATTGGACTAATGTTAAAATTTTTATAGATTTTTTGGAACAATTTCATATTGCTACAAATGAATTGTCTGGGCAATATTATCCTACTATTCCAAACTGTTTAGTTTATATTGCAGCACTATGTGATTTGTTTGCTCAATTTTCAGAGGGTGGGGTAATTTATCAACTTGCTATAAATGCAATGAAAGAAAAGTTTAAAAAATATTTTTTTCCTATCCCCCTTATTTATGGTGTTGCTGCCATGTTAAATCCTACCATGAAATTAGGAGGTCCTCACTTTTGGTATTCAAATATTTATAGTGCTTTAGCTCTTTCAGATGAGGAATTAGCTACACTTGCAGATGCAAAAGCCTCAATTAAAATAAATGCTCAAACAATTTATAATGCTTATCAACAAGCCTTAGATCATGCTAGACCAAATGTTCCGACTCCTACTTCGTCTAATTCGCAAACATCTAAAAGAACTGTGGGCAAAAGCACTTAGTTCTTGGAGGAAATTCAGGGGTTCTCAAGGTGATAATATTGATGATACTTCACATCTAAATGAGCTTCAGGTTTATTTGTCGCAGGGCCTTGAAAAGGAGAATCCAGACGGCACCTTTGATCCTTTGGAATGGTGGAAGGCCAGAGAAAAACACTTTCCGATTCTTTCAAGGATGGCTCGAGATATTTTATGTGTTCAAGCTTCAACAGTGGCATCAGAGAGCGCTTTCAGTCAAGCGAGACTTCAAATAGGTGATCATAGAGCGTCTATGAGGGAGAGCTTGGAAAAATCAGTACTCTTCAGAGATTGGATCCGTTCGGAAAGAAGAAATTTTGGACTTGCTGAATCACAACCGGAGATAGACGAAGCTTATGAAGAAATGCTAGCGGAATTTGCGGAGGATGCTGCTTCGCCCGGAAGCGGTGATGAACAAGCTTCTTTTCCGCCACCACCAACGGAAATTCCTCCGAACCTTGAAGGATTTATGAAATTTGTTAGAGATAATATATAGACTAATATGTAACTTGTATTTTGGCACATCTTCATTAGTTTTTTTTTCCTTTTAATGGTGGTATTAGCACCTTGTTGTGCTCATTCCATTGGGGGGAGGAAGACTAAGAAAGATATTGTCATTTTTGTTAATGTCGTAATAATAAAAATTATAAGGCATTCCCTTGAATATCTCTTTGCAATTTTTTTTTGTGTTTAAATTTGACTCTATAGAAGATTTAAGTTACAATTCTATAATATATTTACAAGAAATTATATAAGGCAATATATATACATAACATACTATATATACTATATATATATATATGTGTATAATTTAAAAGAAAATGTCTTAAGATAAAAAATTTGAAAAAAAAATAAGCCCGGACCACTTAGGCCCGTGGGTC